ATATATATAAAAGCAGACACTCTGAAAAAAACTGGTTGTATTGAAAATCAAAGCTGTCTGCCCAAAATCACTGTTGCCAAGAAATATCCCACCATCCCTAATGGAGGTTTATCTGGTATGACCCAAAAACTTACGTCTCACAGGTTATAAATAGGAGGACGATAGTAGAAGGAGACATGTTCTAGTGTTTAGATCTGGGCTTGAATATGAACTTTTACAAAATTAGACAGTTTTCAGATGCAGGGTTTTGGTTCAGGCTCACCTGTCAGTGGAATTTTGAGGCTAAGGTAATCTCTACAGTTTGGGACAACTGTTTTTTTTCATTTGATCATCCAAGCCTGCTGGTCATTACCAGAAGCCTCCTTTGCTTTGAGATTTTTAGTTATTTGTCTACACCGAGGAAGCTGGACAGAAGCAAAACATAGGAACAAATTAATTTATGGAAAAATTCCCTGCAGCAAAACTTTGTCACTTGAATGGGATCATACACTGTGAGCATTATAAAAGTGAATGAGCAGCGTGGTTTCTTGCTCCCTAACAGGGTGCCGCTGTCACAACCATACGGATAGCTGCCACTTTGACCTGGCTGTTTGGCTGGCATCAGGAAAGCGCAGTGGTGGAGTCTGTGACAACTGCAAACATAACACAGAGGGGCATCGGTGTCAAAGGTGCAGACCTGGGTTTTACCGAGATAAGGAGAAACCTATGTCTTCTCCTGAAGCCTGCAGACGTAAGTAACTCCAGTACAATGCACCATGGGCCCAATAAGTGGCAAAAGTTTTTTGGGGGTTGAACATTATATATTGAACTGAGCTGATCCAAACCATTAAAGTTAGTTACAGCTACCTGTGGAAATGGCTCATAAAACAGTTCCTTTCCTCCTGTTATCAAATGAATGCTCTGATTTTCTTAACTTGATTCTCTGAAGCCATTTAATCTTTAAGGAAGGTTTCACTCTTGCTGCATGTGAATTTAAAATGCTGCTGCTCCTATCTTTGTGAGTCCAATTTTTCATTTAGCTCTACCCCAAAGAGGTTTACAATGTGCACTGTATATATAGATTCCAACTACTGTGAGGGTCCAGTAAGCCACAGTTTGATTTTACATCCTCTGTGCAAGCAAACGTAAAATATTGACTGTCAGGGGTGGGGAAAGAGTCTGAGGCTCTGGACTTCCTGCCAGATCTTAGACCTTTGATTCCATTTAATATCAGTGTAGAAGATTTAAACATTTGGTAACAATTCATCTTTTTGTTTCCCCCTTTGGACAGTTTCCCTCCAGTGTTTCTGAGTGAAGATCTTTCTCTCATCTCTGAAATTATTTTTCACCCACTCCTGACATGGGTTGCTGACACAGAGGAACTTTCTCCTTTGTGACCTGTATTAATTCCTGTCATTATCCATTGTGCAATTTGTCCCTTTGCTAGCTCTGGTCAAGCATACTCTAGACAAATTGGGTAGACCCCCTCTTGTTTCTGATCTTCAATATCACATGTACCTTATTTATAATATTTTCTATGCATCTGCTCTTTCACATTCATGTTTCTTTGGATCTTACTGCTAGCTCATACCTTGACATTCCCCACAGTTTTTCTCTTTGATAACATAACTGTGCCTTGAGACTCATTAGTTGCGGGAGGTGGGGAAGGAAGCTTCCTGACTGATCTACCATGTGCCCAATTCTCTTTTGTTATGATAAGCTTTCCAGATAACTCATGTAGCTCATTCCTGCTTTGAGAGGAAGTGCTGTAAGCAAAGTTTTGTCATAAGCATGAATGGTTGTTCCAGTAGATTAGATTTCAGTCCCATGGTACCTGAAAGTATCTGGGTACAAGCTCTGGTATTTGACAGCAGGGTGATGGTGAGGTAACCAGCATCATGTGTAATATTAGATAATCATTAAAGTCAAGGAGCACTGGAGAGTACAAGAAAATAAAAAATGTTGTTTAAAACTACAGCTCATCTTGGAAGAAACCCTAGAACAGGCTGCCAGCGTGAAATCAGAGCCTGGTCTTACCTCTGCTTCTTTTGTCTGGTCTGGTTACCATCCTCTCTGTACATCTTGCCACTACTCTACAAAAGACAAAAGAAAACATTTCAGTGGGATACAGCCTAATAAGCAAAAATATATCCTCTTCAAATAGTTGTGCTTCTTGTGCCAGCACTGTAAGGAATAGAAATTTTTTACCCAACATGATAGATGCTGCATAGAAAGGCTCCCAAAGGCAAACACAAAAGTTTTTTTTTTTCCTACCAGGTACAGCTTGCACACTAAGATTCAAATCTGACATAGCACTGAGTGTGGATTTGTCTTGAAGCATGGATGGGACCCCTTGCAGGCCTGAAGTCACACTTTGAGTTTGAGTATTTACTGGTATGAGGCCTAAGAAAAGGTCACACATTTTTATTCAGAGAAAATAAATGGTAAATATGTGACACCCTTTTATTTGAATGGAACAGGGAGGGACATTCAGTGTTTGGTCAGCCTGTTCAGAGGGACATACTTTTAATGGGTATAATAGTTTATGCCTTTTTCCACCTTACTGACAGATGAGGAAGGCAATTCCCACCATGACATTTAGCTGATTACCTAAATAGGATGACTTCCTGTATATTGAGAGGACTGTGTTGCAGAAATTATCCTGAAAAAGAGAGAGAGAGAGAGAGTATGCACATATGTGCAATGCTGCTTTTACATGGCAGGAAATCTCACCATGTTTTACTCTGTCTGGGGCAGCACCAGCAGTGATTGCAACCTCACAAGCACTAGGACAGGCAGGGCCTTGAAGCTCCAGGGTTGTGGGAAGGAAGAAATTATATTAGGTAGAGCAGGAATAGGTGTTTTGAGGGAAAGATTTCATCCCCTGGACCACCATAAAGCACCCCCATTCTTATGTCAAATCCATGCGCTCAATCTGGAAGATTGAGAATTTGTCCGTGAGTGACATTTAACTCATGCATGTGCGTTTCACCACACCTCAGTCTGCTGATCACTGGAAGAACTGCTACGGCTGAGAGAATAAGTTTGTGGGGGTTTGGATATGGCAGATGGTACACTTCAGCTTGGTTTGCCTAAGGAAAGCATGGAGATAGTGCCAGATTATGAAAACTAAATAATTAATCCCAGCATCTGATGATCCTGGCAAATGACAGAGAGCAATAATGAATTGGACGCAGCAGATCATACAGATGTTTTTGGTGTGAGCAACTTGTTTCTCAGCTTCATATTTGTGGGGAAAGGAGAAAAGCCTCCCCAGGGAATCCAAACTCATCCTGTGTGTACAGTAGATGCTGAGCTAGGAAAGGGAACCTGATGAAAAAGCTGAATGAAATGCTGCATTAATCCTGTCGAGAAAGCACGCTTGAAGAGTGCTCTTCCATCCAGAGCAAAGTCTAGGTTTTGCTGTGACAGCCCCCTCGGGCTCCTGACGAGTTAACGGGACTCTGCCAGGCTCAGAAGGAATCTTTGGGCATTAGTCATAATAATCAGCAGCATTCTCTCTTAATCACAGCTAGGAAAAAAAGGGGGAGAGGGGGTTGTATAACAATGGGATACACTGGTACTATCCAAATCCCTCATCACTGACTTTCCATTTATAAGACTGCAAAGACAGTCCCTTAAAAAAAATCCCAGCTGAGATTTAACACATAAATATGAGTCTGCCATTCCTTTTCATCTGGAGAGCTCGCCCGTCTCTGACCTCTTTGCTTCTCCTGTTCCTAGCAGCTGGGGATGAATGAGAGCCAGGTCATGCGCAGAGCTTTGTTTTGACACTGCTTAGATAAAAACAAAGTAAAGGACTTGAAAAGAGCCACAGAGCACAGCACACACCTGCTTGTTATTGGGGGTGACAATGCAGGATTAAACAGGCTGAATATAGACTTGTAAGGGAGCTTTGACTCGGAAGCCTTGCGAAGCCTAATTGTTTCCTAACCAATGGTTAGAAAAGCTGCTGTATCCTTGGCTCTTTCCTGTGGCTTATTTGAAGGCTTAAAGGATACTTCCAAATTGACACCATCTTTTGTACTTACTCATTGCTTATGTAAAAAAATGCAGGCTTTTTCTAAGCACAGAGTTTGAACATTAAAATGTGCACATGCGTGCATGTACACACATACTCAAAGAAGCTGTTCCTTTCCTTCCTCTTTACCCCACTTAACAAAGCAACAAAGCTTTTACTTGTAATATTTGGTGGGCTCAATGACATCTTTGTCAGAATCAGTCTCTTCTTCATCAGCCACCAATGTGGTGACCACCTACAACTGAATATCTGTTGTCCTTGATGCAAGAGGCACTTGTGTAGGGCATTCAGCCCCAAACCTGACCTGCATCAAAAACCACTGTGATTTACCAGGGAATATGCATCACACTCCAAGGACTTTGTTTTGTTTTTAAA